TGGCGAGGTACATGTACCTCGCCAGCTGTTTCCTTCCCTCCGGGGAGGTACGTGTACCTCGTCGACTGGAAGGAAACCCTTCCAGTCGACGAGGTACATGTACCTCGCCGGCTGGAAGGGAAACCTTCCAGCCGGCAAGGTACATGCCTCGCCGGCTGGAAGGCAACCTTTCCAGCTGGCGAGGATGTGCCTCGCCGGCCATTTAGAGGGCGGGTATCCGAGGATATCCGCTCGGATACCCGCTAAGGCGGGGGGATATCCGCCTGGGGATGCGGATGCGGGTGCGGATGCCGCTTTCCCTGGAAAAAGCAGCCGGATATCCGCATCCGCGCGGATATCCGGATGCAACACGACCATCTCTACCCAGAAAGACGCCAAGACAAACGAAACTTCGGCTGCTCCTCACGCCCCCCAACCCCAAGCGGAATCGCCGGCTACGGCAACTTGCTAGCACAAAAGCAAGTCTCACGGTATTGAAAACCATCATTGTGATAAGTAAATATATGCCTACCTCCATCATGAAACATACGGCTTCAACAAAAACTGATCAGGTATCTGTAATGCTCTTGCGTATAGGGCCTTGGACAAGGTGGTCTTTGCCCCAAACCAAACGCTTGATAAGTTTTCTAGTCTGATTTTTGCAAACTACAAGACATGGAATGTGAGTGTTATCTGTTTTCTAGTATTGCCAATCGGTCCATGAAAAGCACTCATTCCTTTTTCACATTCATGTGGTCATGTAACCAGGTTCACATCCGAAAACCTCAGAATGTCACTCTGTAAATTTCTGGCTTTCATCTACTGAGTCCGGTGTATCTTCACAAGCCAGCAAGTGGTATTATACTCACTGGAATTTGAACTCTTCTTCCAGCAAAAAGGTCAAACTTGGTCTGATGGTTCATAACCTTACAACTGTGTGTCACTCTGTGGTCATTTCTTACTTTGCATCTCATTTCCATACTTGATTTTCAAAACACAATACTGACTTGTGCACGCAGGGAGGAGTACTTTCACAATCTTCGAAAGTCACAGTAATGGTTGAGCGTGGCACCAAAGCAAACATTCATGATGTCAACATCCCAATTTGCAAGAAGCAGGAATGTCCACTTACCCAGAGTGATATAGATATAGTAGGCGCAGAGAGTCTTATGAAAGACCAACGAGTGTAAGACACTACACGAGTTGAGGATGAAGAGGAGACAAAGCTAGCACACCTGGTTGTGCGAGTTGAGTTGAAACAGTGAGATGAAACTGAATGAAGAAAAAGAAAAAGTAGTAAACGGTAAAATAAGTTGACTACTTAAATACAATCTCATTTAGGTTTCATCTAGGTTACACTGTGAATATCACTACACACCGGTTGCCGAGTATGCTTGTACTGAGGTACTTTGACAAGTGATTGTTTGAGGTGAGCGATGTGACGGCCCCACTCGGTGATGATCCTGAACTGACGTGTTATTCGTCAGCACTTTTTATCAAATTCCCACAGATGCTAAGGGGATCTTTGTCAATGGGAAGGGAAAGGTACCCTTCGTGCGTGTCACCAGCAGAAACTGCACCGTTAGTGCATTCTTTGTCTGTAGCACCTACCCCAAACTAATCATCTCGCCAATTCGATAGGTCACCGCATCGACTACTGATCTCTCGGCCTTCACTATGTGAGATTGCTTTCCCCACTTGCATGAAGCAGTAAACCATACAAAACTTGTAATTGACCTGTTATCGTTCATTGCAGCCCTCGACAATTTGTCTTGCCTACCATGAAGAAACTTGTGAAGGAATGTGGTGAACACGTGGGTAGTCTCTTGACTAGTCCACCTCATCCCTTGCTAATCAATCCTCTCATTCATAGCCCGGAAAAATCTACTTCAGCAGTGGTACAAAAGGCTACAATGGTGACATCTGGCTGTCAGCTCGTGCATCCAACAAGGACCTATGCCATCAATTCCTGTCATCCAAATCTTTAAGACTCGGTTCCGTTCTAAAGAAATATCCCCTTCTCTGGTCTCTTCATTATCATGCTATTGGTTGCTATTGGTTAGTTTTCAGTGAAAACGGTCATTGACTGTAGCGCAACCACACCGATACATCTCTTGGTATTCAATGCCACAAAAATTTACTTTTCTCATTCCATTTGTTAAATCATGTTTATCTTTATAAGTTTATATGTATCACATGCTCTAGAGGGGTTTGGCAATTGCATTTATGATATTTTTTAACATCGTCTTGTAGCCCTGCTACAAAGTATACCTTTGTTTTGATTGTTGTAAAGTCTGTAGTAGTGAAATGTGAAGTGCAAGTTTTGGTTTTCAAAAGTTGGTAAACCATGCCAGAACACCTCTTAACTGCGCAGTCTTGCTTAGATGAACATGTAGATATCTATAGAAAACCATATCAATAAATGAAATATACATTTTTCTTCTCCTCTCTCTTCCTTTATCCTCTTTGTATTCCTTGTTTCCTTACAGTAATAATAATATTACTACTAAAGCTTTCATCAGCTACTCTTGTTTCCTGGCCTTCTTCAGTTTGATTTCTATGTAAGACTACAAGCTTACACTTATTTTTCATTGTCCTGCTTACCAACTGATGGCACTTGAGTGAGTTTGACGCAATGAGAATTATTTTTTATTTCTTCATAAACAACTTGGAAGCTGTGGGTTTAATAAATTTGGATACACAGGCACTTATTCAGGTCCTCTTTTTCACTCATCAGCCCTTGTTCAACTCTTTAGTACTCAATTTCCCATTGATGCAATGGATGGTCACAAGCTATAGCACATACTTATAATATGATAAATTGTACCTCCAAAGTGCCAGCATCCTCCTTCCAAAGATTCCAGGAAGAAACTTTCAAAAAGTGAAATTATGTGAAAACAGAGGTGATTCATCCTTGTTTATTATAACTAAATGCAATATTTCCTACATGTCAAAATTCTACACTCAACATTTTGGATGTCATGGAGTTCTCTCCATGCTTATCTATTTGTATCTTAAAAAAAATCTCTAATTCGTAGTCACAAGTTATCTTTCACAAGTCACAAGTTATGTTTCACAAAAAAAGAGATACAATGTTTGAAAACTCCAAAACTTTCACAATGGAAACTCAAATTTCACTACTAGCTAGTTATTTACAATCCGGAATCAATTTGATCATACTAAACTGTGCTGTAGGATTCATAAGAAGGGGGAGGCAATATATTTCAAGGAAACAAAATCAGAAAAAACACTAGGAGTGATTTTGAGGTCTCTGGTTGATTCACGAAGTACTAGGAAGTTAAGAATCCAATTCTGACCTTTTACAAGAGGACGAAGAGCATCCCACGCCTTCCCCATCCCCTGATGAAATATTTGACTTTTCATTCCAGCAGTAGCCTTTGCCTTGTTGAGAGCATTCCTGTGGTTGCGCGAATTATGCAATTAGAGAAAAATAACCAATAATTGTAACCAATAAGATAATCATCTTACACATAAGGCGTATTCAATCGCGTGATGTTGGTCATCGCACTTTGGATTTGGGCATCTTTCGGGAAATTTTTGCTAGCTAGCTGTTTGTGACCGGCAAGTGAGCTGCCATCCTGTTTGGTCATTCACGTTTTGAAGAAAAAGAATCAAGAATCAATGTGAATTTCACCCGGTGAAACGTATTGTTTTTTTTTTTTTTGATTGGAAACAGAGGCCATGGATTGGAATTCGTACAATACTCAGGAGGCCGTCTATTTTTTCATTAGCTTGAGCAGCTTGCTGACTTGTCATAACATCAGAAAGCGCTGACATTTTGAGTGCAAAGAAGTACGAATCCGTATTCGCTATGTTCAACTGAACAGTCTGACAAGTGTAATAAGCGTCATCTTGCCTCGTGTCAGCTCCTCTTTTGTGAAGCAATTTGTCTGAACTTGGGTCTTTGAGCACAGGACGTAGTGAACTGAGCCAGTATTGTAAGGTAGAAAGATATCAGCTTTGCTCATCTTGATTCTGTATCATTGTATCAAAAGATGCCCTGGACTAACCGGATTGCAAGCGGGAAACCACTGGAAAGGGATGATACATCACTTGGGGCAGGGGTTGCCCCTAAAAATTTCACAATAATAAGGAATATGAGACATGCGGGGATGGGTAATTTTCTGATGAACATCTTGGATGGATATATGCCCCGGGGAAAAATGGGAGAGTGTGGAGAAGTTTTCGATAGCTAGTAAAGGCGAGTATTTCTTGGTTTCTAATTTTTCAGGAAAATCTTGATGAGCAAGTGTCTAATCAAACAAAAAGAAAGCTGTATGTGATCCAAAACTAAATGCTGATGGGGTGTCGGGTTATATGGAAAATATGGATGATGCTTGGCCAGGAATAGCTTACTGGAGCCAACGGTTGTGCTGCTCGAAGAACCTACAGTAAAATTAAGACAACACAAGCCAACAGTGCAGTTGATGGCTTCCATGGGGACTATGTATCAAAATGAGCCTTGCGGGGTTTGAACAAGCAATTGAATTCGGGGGCAATCAAATCTGCCAACCGAAAAGATGAAACTTGCTCGAGAGAGACCCAAATGTGAGGAACAGCAAGCGACAGGAATAGCTACCGTCGGCATAAAGCATTGGCAAGATTCTTTGTTGTGCCAACTCGCTAGGCGAACACCAAGTACACTACGTCGCGGAGGAAGGGCGACGTTTTACCCGAAGAGCAATCCGACGCCTGCTTCTTGGTAGTCAGGATCCCGGGCCGAGAGTTATCCAAAGAAATAAGCTGCAGCGTGATCGGTAGTTAAGGTCAGTAGTCCAGGGCCGAAGCTGATAACCCAAGGCCAAGACGTCGAAGCCCTTGGATAGTGTAGCAAGTCACGTTCGTATATTCTAGCAGTGTTGCGCTCATTCTAATGGTTTTAGAGGAAGAGCTGTGGACTCTACACTTGATCACACCACTTCTTGCCTGGATTTACATCTAAAACTAGCGTAACATGGTGTAGCAGAGCCAAGTTTTCACTAAGTTTACTGCAGCATCTACGGGACAAAAGGGGTGTCGCTTTTTTGACTTTTTTTGGCCAAACAATCCTAGTGCAGGATGCTCCACCATTCTTTTGAGGGTTATTTAATTAATTCCATTGGGGATTACTAGAATCTTTCACAGAATCAACTTTGAACTGGATAACCCCCAATAGCACAATTGCCTACCACTGGTCTTGACTCTTAGTGAGTTGATCATGAGGATTGCCTCCAATCCTACCAATATTTGACTGGCTGTTTCAGAAGGGCCCGTCACCACACATCCTTGCCCAGAGTGCATGTTTTGGAGGGGTTTGCCTTTTTCGGCGTCTCTAAAATTTTGAATATCACAAACGCACCGCGACTTTTCAAGTACTGCGTGCTCAACACAAGCCGCCACCAAGCGGATGGGAGAAACCGATGACTTGCAATGAGAAGGTCGCGCTTTTCATGTTTTTGTCTCAGTCTCGGTTTGCGCCTGAGCCGCCAGTCATCCAAAAGTCTACCTGGCACTCGAATGTCGCATGTGCTATCCAGCTTTCCGCAAGTGCCGGAGGCTACTTTCAAAAGTGCATAGCGTCTCCTTTCAGTCTGAGCCGTAGATGAAGGTGAGTCCTGCTGCCCACTCGAAAGGTATAAATATATAAGCTATTGGCCACCCCCATGGCCACACGCTACACATCCACCCGACCGTCCTCCTCGTCCCGAACCCGCCTCCCAAAAACAGAACAACCTTAACACCCATCCTCCAACCCCACCAAGCTAATATGTCTAGTACCACCGCTCCCGAGTTGAACACACCGGCCTCACTTCCAGCCAAGCCTTTGAGTCAGCCCACACCCGCTGAACATTCGGTCTACGTCGGTGACTTGCCTGCAAACATTACCGAAGAAGAGCTGATCAAAGTTTTCAGTCAAGCCTCCCCAGTGCTATCAGTCCAGATCAAATTCCCCAGCAGAAGCGTTAAAGGCCCACGAGCCTATGCCTACATTGCCTACTCTTCCGCCGACAAAGGTAAGTTTCACTATCCAACAACTCGTCATTAATAAATTTCTGATGTGCTGATCATCCTCCTCTTCAATTCTCCTCCAACAGTCGATGAAGCCATTAGGGAATACAATCACACCAAATTCGCTGGAAAGCCATGCCGCGTCATGAAACCCAAGCGAGGAATTGTGAAAGGCCCTCCTGAGGCCAACGTGTTTGTGCAGGATTTACCACTCGCCCTAAGTGCCCTTGCATTCCACGATACCTTTGCCGAATTCGGAGAGATCTTATCTTCGCGATTGTCAGTGGACCGTGAAAATGTCTCCAAAGGTTACGGATTCATCCAATACGCAACTGTCGAGCAAGCTCAGGCAGCCATTGCAGAGACCAACGGCTCGCTTCTTGATGTTGCAGGCGGCGAGAAGCCAATTCGCACTTCCATATTCGTCAAGAAAGACGCCCCTTCAAGCCCAACTAGCCGTGCCGCCGCTCGAGAATTCAAGAACTTATTTTTCAAGAATTTACCCGCCGACATCACGCTAGAGGCGTTCAAGGCAACTTGGAGCAAGTATGGCGTGATCACTTCGGCTGTGTTAACTGTGGATGAAGACGGCAAGCCCACCGGCACTGCATTCGCCAGCTTTCAAAACCACTCCGATGCAGTCAGGGTCATAAAAGCTACTCAGCGCAAAGGCCCCGATGAAGTTTATGCCGTACGTGCCTTAAGCAAGGCTGAACGCACGCGCTACAAATCTCGAAAAGATGCTAAGGCCACTGAGGCATCTACCTCCGCCTGAGAGTTGTGATTTTTAGTGACTTCCCTTCCCCTTCCTCATGCTTCTATCCTTACCATCTGGGAAACCATTTTTTCAGCTTTTGTTAAGATGAGGACCTGTACAAAGATTCCCCTCTGACTGTTGTTTTCTTGTATTCAACTAGTATCGTGATATTAACATGCTTATTGAAATTCAGTCGATCCAAGCAACCTATTGATCAACCCATGTAAGGCCTCGTTTTATGAGTGCACTCTGACAACGCCTCCTCGCCTTGAGATATAGTCTTTACTAAGAAGTACTTTCATACCAGACTCTCAACAAACACATAAATCTTGGGGGTCCCTTCACAAGAAAAAGCCGGGAAATTGGTCAGGTGAAGATCTCATCGTGCATTTCGTTGGAAAACGAAACACACTTTTGGCCAAAAGGCTAAGAATACTAGACTGCCAATACCACGAATTCATTGTTCCTGAACGGCGGTCGTTCAACTTCAATCTGTCTATTCCAGTTTAGCCCGGGAAGGGAACCCACAAAAATGAACCCGGATTGTCAATCTATTCTCAAGCAGAGGAAGCAAAACCATCACTAGTGGAGCCCGGGGTCTTCCTTCATTGAAATTTATGTTTGTGTGGTCAGTTGGATTTTTTCCGTCTCTTTTCTTTTCCTTTAGGCTTTGTATGGCCGATGCCTTTCATATCATTTGTCATACAGTTGCCACAGATCCTATCCGGGACGTCGGACGGGGAAGGAATCTTATCATCATCGTTCCACCCATCTGGCATCGTGACCGTGTTCCTTGTCCGCAGTCCATCCCATCATCTCATCAATGCTTATTCAATGGCTGATACGAATATAATCCAGCATGATTGAAGCAGGTCATCTCAGCCAAGTGCTGGTCAGCTAATGCAGTTCTGGTTTGGATCTTCTCTACACAGATGTTCTATCATTGCAGGCTTGGGATTAATTTTTTTTTTTGGAGTTTTATGAATTATAAATATGAAAGGGCGTATTTGGACTATGGTGAAGCCGTCGCTGGTGCCAGTGGGCAAGAAAAGATTTTCGCGTCTCGTTCGCTGGCCGATCGGATATGGATTGTAAGAAAATCAAAGTCTTCGGTTTATGTGGAAGGAGATCAAGCCTTATCGATGAGTCTCATTCTTGGAGTTTGAGCTAGGTAATTGTTTCGGAGGTGTGCCTGGTGGAGGTGCAATATTTGCCAATTGCTGATAATAAGCACTCCTGTATTACGATGAAGTTATGGTTGTCAACGAATATCACAAAAAGCTTCAAGTTGTAAAGCTCTGATAATCTTCTGCTTTCGCAGTCCAGCTTCAAAAGTAATCCGACATTGAAGCGCGGTCCTGGCTTTGAATGGAACCCAGAATGGTGGATGCAGAGATTCAGAAACCAGCGGATAAGATGCTTGGGCAACAAAAATAGATGATGCATGATCGCGAGCACGTCAAAGAGACGGATGAGTGGTCTAAGACGCGCAAATATCTGAGTTTGTAGATGGACGCTTTGATGCAGTGCTTGAGCTGAGAAGACAAAGAACAGATAGAAGTCAACGCATCCTACGTTTGAGTGAGATAGAGGCAGCAGGTTTTTTTTTTTTTTTTTTGGCTGGAGTAGGAAGGGGATTGGAGTGTAACCTAAGAAACTGAGATGAGGAGCACACTACCGAGAGCGACGAGAGATGGGAAAGAAAGAAAAAGATAATCATATCTCTTGATGGATGGCAAGTTCGAGAGGTAGATAGCCGAATAGTATGTAAGTTCGAATTGATTTGAGTTTGTCGGGACCCGTGATCAGTCATCAGGGTTGGCCAGATTCGGCTGTGAAGGGCAGCAGAGGGCAGCGTGATGACCACACACCATCCACCAACACAAACCCAATGAAAGACGATGGCCACCGATGGTTTACAGAATGGTGCAATCGACTTCAACTGGTAAGCACATCACAAGCATTCAACCATGCCCTATATAGTACACTGACCTCGTCTGCTTCGTGTTGCTTGACAGGCTGTTTCTGGTCGAGAGCGTCACCATAGCCATCGTCGTTATCTTTTACTTGTTCTACTTCAACCGGGTCCTTGGATGGCTAGTCGCTGCGATCTGCAACCTCTACTTTCGGAAACTCAACTACAATGCTTCCGTCGAGTTTGAGGCGATCCAACTTTCACTCTTGGCCGGACGCGTTCTGTTTAGAAATGCAAGATATCACTCCATCAATCAAAGCTTACGAATCGTCAAAGGTGCACATCTTTCAATCCCCTTCAGCTTCCATCAGAGTACCATCTCATCGTTTTCTCGTTCTCGTTCTTCTTATTCTAGGTCACCTAACATGTCGGTACTGGTATCTCCGAACCCAAGGGATGGAATCAGATGGGCCAACATCCAGGCAAGGCAATCCGCTTTCACGTCAGTCGCTTGGCTAAATACACCACCTACCTTCACCCCCATGCTGATTCAACTTGCTGTCTCCTATTGGACTGTTCAGCATCAAGCCTGCCTCATCGGTGGCTCATAGCATTTGAAGGGGCCGAATGGTTCGTCTATAATCGCACGGCTGCTTTCGATGTCATCTTGGAGCATCTTGGATTTGTTAATCCTCTCGATCCGGCTTCAGACTCCACTATGAAGAAACAAGGCGAGAGTCCATTCGAGCGTCCATTGAGATCGAGTAACAGCCAAACGACATTCAAAGTTCAGAATCCTCCCTCTGTCAAGACCAATCATCATCCCAATGACAAGAAGCAAGATAACACGCAAGAAAGTATGATGAGCTGGGCCTTGCGTGACGCCCTTCCAGTCAGGATAGAAGGAAACATAGGCGTGGTGACGATCGGAAACCCTTCGACCTCCTCGATCCTCGTCTTCACCTTCCAAAAGGCTCATGGGGTTTACAGCGCGCCCAACGCTCGATCTCGCCACGATTTCTTCAGACAGGATTTCAAGTTCTCCTTTGTCCAGACCAAGATCGTACTTAGAACCAACCCAGATTATAACCGAACGCTCAAGGAACACGGTGCTACAATCCTCAACGACCTCCAATCCGATCCTAACTTTCGTCAAGCTTTTGATCAGCCCATCTATCGCCTCTTGAACTCGGCTTCATTCGCCCAATTCTCCAAGTACTTCAGTGCCAAATCATCTGGACTTTTTAACTGGATCCATCCAACTCATCAACCAGAAGTTGGCAAAATGCCTGGAGTGGCTATCGAACCAGACGGCTTCGTCGGTCTGCCTCGTTTTGTACAGACAACAACACCGGCTCATCCGGCCGAATATGCAAAGGTTACCACGATCCTGACCTCTAGGATCATGAACTTCCGGTACTATCTTGATTCTCCTGGAAAGGTTCCTGCGGGTAGGCTTGTTTTTATATATACAAATTGCTAGTTGGGAATTGCTTATGTTCTACTGTGCTCCACAGATCCCTTGACAGTCCATCATCTCTCAACCTCATTATCCCTTGATCCTGAGGACGGCTTACCGCCTGAATATGGCATAGACATCAAACTAGTTGATGCGAAGATCACGTACGGTCCGTGGGCTGATAGACAACGAGCAGTGATTCACAAGGCTATCTTCCCTCCTCAACGCTTCGATAATGTTGAAACTCCCCAGCCATTCGGTCCCGGAGATCAGAGGGCTCATACTGAACTGTTGGTCAAAGTCGATCTCGAGAATTGTCAAGTGCGAGTCCCGATCAGAGAACCTTCCAAAGATTGGCAATGGCTCACCGGCGGTACCACCACTGCAAACAACCAAGGCTCTGATGTTAGACCCTATGGTTGGCTGGATCTGTCTATTGGCCCCGGCAGTGAAATCGTCCTGACTCAGAGCCAGATCCCTCAGAAGGATGGCTACGAGATGGTCCTGCAATTTCGGATGATGGACGTGGAGGCTAGGTCGAGCGTGAATAACAAGGTTTTCGCGAGAATCCCAATGGTTTTGGTAAGTATTCCCTTTGGCGCAAAGATTGAATGTCCTTTCTGATGTAGAGCCTTTCTCGTCTTAGATAATAGCCGATATGCCAACTCCATTGATATGGGACTCCCCTCGAACTTGGAAGTATCGGCTTACGCTATCCGAAAAATCTTATCACCCTCATGACTTGGCCGATTCAAAAACTCAGCCTCGCGTTTCCCTCATTCGAGATCACATCCAGTTTGTCATCGATCTGATAAAGGATTGGCTCTCTGGGCCCCCAACACTTTACGAGGAATGGGTCCCAACTACCTATGAAGTCGAGCTCAAGTTGATGGATTATGACCTATATTTGAATTTGAATGATCTGAACATTATCGAAAACTTTGACTTTATGGCTGGCTCTAATAGCAATAGTGAGTCAGCTCTCTGCATTCCTCTCACTCTATATTTCCAAATAGCTGATAATTTGATCATGTAGTTTTGTTACTTCTTTGCGGCCAATCGCTGACGATCCAAGTCGTCATTCCGGGGGAGCTTTATCGACCACCTGTCTCGACAACCTCGTTCAGCGTGCAATTTGACGATCTGAGCGTTAAACTAGACTATCCAGATTGGAGTACCCAGCATTCCTTTGCCACCGACTCTGCGCTGTATTGTGCTGAACTTGGTCGGGTCTCCGTGCAAGGCTACTATGACGCGAATGACCTCATTAAACCAGAGGCTGTCGATTTTTTAAATTTGACTTTGGAGGTAAGCATCCGAAATGATTTCTTTCCCCTCTTCCTCCTCAGTCTTTCCACCCAATTGTGATCTTAATCAAATGTGTTCAAAATTTATAGATGGATGATGTTCTTTTTAAAGCCTTCGGACATCTCTTCCGGCTGATGCTGAACATCAAAGAAAACTATCTCGGCTCGTACCATCATTCATTTACTCAGGAGGAATTCATTGCGGCTTTTAAAAAGGGAATCATTGGCGCCCATCCAGACGAAATAAACTATCGTGCCACTAACTCCAATACCTTCGAGATGGATCTCAAGGTCATTATCACCAACTTGCTACTTGCTTTTCCGCAAGGTCAGTTGGTATCATCAGACTAAAGCTTTCATTAAGCCTTCCATTCAACAAAGCAGCTTAACCGAAGTATTTCCCTTATTCAGATTCTTTTGATTGTGAAGAGGTGGTGTTTTGTGCGGCACCAAGCTCTCACTGCTTTCTGAAAAACCATGCTTCATTTATGGGTAAGTGATTGCATCTGTGAAACCGATGCTTCTGGTGATTATGTCCTTTCTCATGCTAGTTCTGATTGTCATTTCAGATATGACCTTGGAAACTTCCCCTCTGCGCTTCCAACCGGCCACTGATTGGGAACACCTTTTGGATGACCCCATCGTTCGACGGCAGATTTTGAGCGGCGACTTCAGCTCATTTCATTCCCAAACCCGGGTCCGACTCGAGTCAATCCAACTGACTGCCCTAAGGCTTTTTGGGCCTCTTCCCGAGGGTAAGGAATTCACATTGCACAAGCATTATATTGCGGTTGTTCCTATTCCTCACCACATTATGCTTATTTTAAACTTGGAAAACACTATCAGCAACCACTTATTTCGGCGATTGGCGCTGTTCTATTGGCCAACTGACTGGCGAGCTCGCCATCTCCGATGTTGAAGCTTTTGCAAGATTTGCTAGTGTTGTTGGCGAAGGTTTTGTTGACAAGGCAAATTCGATGTTCGCTGATTTCCCTCTGCCAGTGGAACCTGATGTCACCTTTGGACGAGTGAGCACGGAGGCGATCGATTTAATTATAGTCACTCCTAGGTCACGGGCACGGCTCCATTTTTCGTCCGGCATCCAACTTTCTTACAACGATTTGGCGTCCGATCTTTTTAAAATTCATACCGAACTCGTGGTCCCAGCCTTCGGATTTTATCTACTAGTTCCAGATCCTACTAGAGGAGGTGATATACAGAACCCTGCTATCCCATGGCTGGAAGTCGCCTCTTGTACTGGAAACTTGGAAGTTTCGTCTGCCGCTGCAGCCTTGGGTTGGGAAGAAAAGGCCCAAAATCAGCGCGAGTTTTTGGAGGAACAAGACTTCCAAACCAAGAGATGCCACTTTTTGTATCCGGAAAGTGTCAACGCTTGTAAGTCTGCCATTTCAGTAGAGTGTCGAACTTCGCAAGCTTATTTCAGATTGTCTTCATAGCGGCTCTGTATCCCCATCTGCCGGCTCCGGCCAAAGACATTCTAGAAGACCTACAACGCAGTCCAATCCACGATCCACATGCTGTAATTGACGGTAGCGATGACGGGAATTCCTTGCGTTCTCATGTAACCAATGCTCGAGGCTCGTGAGTCAAAGTGACCGTGAACACAAGTCATCTAATGATGCTGATCTTCCCAATTCTATCCTTCAGTGATTCGAGTGCCGAGCAGTCCGAAACGGATGGTCGAGTCGCAGCAAAGAATCTTCGCCGTGAACGATTGCTTTATCAACGGAGACTCTCAGTGTGTATGTGTTGTTGGATCAAAGGATTGATTATATACTGGGTGCTGATTTGTCACCGATCCTCTCTTTCAGCCGCACCTCGAGTCCTCCGGTCCGTCGCATCACCCATACCTGCTGCCCCATATGCCACTGCTTTACCTTCCTGGCGCTACTATGGATTTAATCCGGACATTCCACCCCAGCAACCAACATTTCTAGCCATGCGTGCGGTAAGTCAACCGTTGCTGAACATCAATCCATTCCTGCCATTCAAGCTAACATCAAAGTTTTTTTGATTAAGGGTTTGTTTCCACCTCAAAGTATTCAAAATAGACCAGGCAATGGTGAGCACGCCCCCTTTTACGTACCGCGGATGAAAGCTAGCAGAAACACCTCCCCTCAGCGTAAGCAGGTACTAGGAAGAAAGTATCTTGATTTGCGAATGAAGACTCCACTCGATTTGTTTTTCACCCCGCTGTGTGTTGAGGTGGTAGATGACATGTTGGAGACTCTTATGGATGTAAGTCGTATATGTATTTTTAGATTACAATTCCAGAAGCTCATCTATCTACAATTTGCAGAATGATATCGAAGCGGATGGACCTAGTTTTTATAATAGATTGCTGGGATCACTTAGCGCAAATCCATCGCCAAACATTTCAACGTCGGCCAGTGAACAAGTTTTGGAGTTTTTTGTTTCAATGCCGCTCATTCGATTAAGATTACTGCAGGATATTGCTTCTGCCTTCGAGCCCATTGGAATATCGTCGATATCCGCCAATGCACCACCACTTTCTGCGATAAGTTTACAAGTTGAAAACGTTTGCTTGGACGGCAAATCTCCAGCCCTCTTTTCAAAAGGGCCTTTGGATTCGCTAAGTTTGCCGCAAAATGTTCAGGCATCTATCGATGGATTTCAGTTCTTGATACGTCAAGATCCCAGGTCTGCGATGGACCACTTTTTCCTTGATTTGACTCCGCATTCCGAAACCACTGCCGGTACCGTTTTTGCCCTCCAAAGTGGATTTGCTGAACTGAAATTATCACATGATGGCCATCGACTCCAATCGGCCGCAACTTCATCTGATCTGTCTTGTTCGTTTGTGGAAAGGGCTGCAGAGACTTTGGCGGGTAGTTTTGCTTCGCTTGTCACCCATTCGGCCAGGGCTATGAGTCTTATTTCGAAGTATGGACATCATAAACAAGAAATGTTACGACGTGTGATATACCGTTTGATTGCAAATGATTTCGATACAATGCCGTCATGCTTACGGCGTTCACCCTTTTGGACACATATATCACCTTCTTCTCACCGCTCCAGCTTTGCATGGTATTGTTCAATTAGACTTCGTCAACTAGCTCTCAGCATTACGAATAAAAGGGCTCCAATCAATCACGAATCCAACCTATCAGAAACTGCCATTAAAAATACACTCGTCGCATGGAGCAAGGATCACGGCGGGGATTCGGATGTTGGTTCACTCGACCGTTTCCTGCCTCGATTGGGTCCAATCTCCAAGACGACGTCATCAGTTCCTCCCCAATCCTACATCCTGGAAAATCACTCTTTTCTGCTCAGGACTGGATGTTTTGTTGTGCGGTTCATACACACAGCGAACTCGCCTACGTCTACTTCAGCGCTCCGAAACTGCGACAATTTCTTCCAGCTCGCCCCAACCACCTTGCTTGTTGCTACCCAGCTCAGTAAAGATTCTGTTGCGCTGGGCTGTTATCTCAATACCGGGACGATTAACTGTAAGGTCGATCCTCAATTCAGTTCACTTGCCCAGCATATCGTTACTTTAGTGCACGCTTTTAGACCCAAAGTTGCCGAAAGTCCTCTCGTTCAACAAGACCTCTCGGACCCAGTCACACTTTCCCCGAAAACCACTCATGATGGCTCATCTTTCATGAGCATATTTTCTAAAATCGAATTATCTATCGTTTTTGGCGGCGCCAGACTGCAAGCAGCTGTTCATCGTTTGGGTACGATGATTGAACTGGGAAAGCTTTCCCTTGGCTTTCGCCTTGAGAATGCTACGCCTTCCGTCGCGTTTCGACCAAACATGTTCTCTTCTTCTGCCCACCTGGAACGTATTGGCATATATCTTTCAGAGATATCTCTTGCACATCTCTCATCAACAACTGAACCCGTCCTCGAAAATTTGCTAATGTCGGCCACCATTGAAAATATCACTACCAATGCACGCAACTGGCCAGATTCTAGCCAATCTTCCTCAAATGTAAAATTATTGATCTTACTCGGCAGTATTCATATCAGCGTGGGTCGTAGTCTAGTCAAGATGGAAGAGTTTGTGCGCGACTGGAGGCAGCGAGAAGTCGCTTCCCGGATAGTTCCAATGTATCATAAAATCTTGGAGGCGTGGAAATCGGAACCGGCGGCTCAAAGTCCTTCAAGCACTGTTTGGAATTGGTCCTTGTCCCTCGAATTTCATCTTGCAGCCATAGCAGCTAATTTTCAACCCATCCCACGGCTAGAGGTCGTCTACAGCTTGCAGGGCTTGAGCTTTACGGATTTTAAAGCATCCTTGAGAAATGGACAGTTTACTCTCAGCGGTGGGATTGCAGTCGATCAACACAATCTGAGCTTTACATCAACCACCGAGAAACCCGACTCTGAGGCTACGGACTTGACTCGGCGACATCATGGTTTACTGAAATTCCCATCCTTACAAATGCTTTTTTCCTACTCAAATTCAACCAATCCATCGCTACATTTGGACCTTGCAATCGATTTTTTCAGTGCTTACCTGTCGATCAACTGGCTAGATACGATTCTGACGATGACGGCCCGATATGGTGAAGACATCAACGAACTGATTCACTTGTTACGGCCACCAGTGATCCCGCCAATCTCCACCAAAATCGAGAACTCAACTGTAGTCAAGTCAAGCGAACCTCCTCTGCAAATCTTCGCTGAAATTATGTTGTCGGGATTTGAGCTTTCCATCCTTGCCCCCAAACCCCTGCCTCGTATTGAATGCCGGCGCGTAAAAGGTACTATTCATCCCAAGTTTCGCCATCTGGAACTGACCGAGTGCGCGATCTCTCTTGCACCACTTGAACAAACCACTGGCAATATGCAAAGTTTTGCTCGCTTTGTCTTCGATCTTTTTCTTTCAAATGAGAGCCCAGCCTGGGCATTCACACCCCAAACCGATCATGATCTTACCCGAGAAGACGTCTTAGAAATCACCGCGGATTTCCAGCGTATCCATGCCGTCGCAGCCACTTCAGCCTTCAAGCTATTGTTGGATTGCATCCAGTATTTACAGTTGGAATTCGCTCGGATCAAAACTGTCCATCGAGCTGAAATGGCTGAGGCTGAGTCGCGCATTGAACAGGCTTGGTCTAGTGCTCAGAATCAGTATACGTCAAGTGAACCTTTACTTCAGAGATTGATTTTTGCCGGCCGTTGTTCTCAGTTTGGTTTAGCAATTCCTTTGGACGACCCCCCCTCGAATTCCAGCCAATCCGCTGATCCGTCTTCCCCACCACAGAGTTTCAAAGGAGCGGCTTTGTTCATTTCATTCACTCAGTTGGTCACATGGAGTCGTCTAGGTCAGACCGCTCAAGCTAGTGTAGAACTGTTTGCCATACAGTCCCTATCTCAGCTAGACCCATCCTTAGTTGAGCATTTTGAAAGCGCAAGTCACGAAACACGAAATTCTGTCTTTGTGCCTCACTTGGACGTCAAGTTTGGCTTGACTGCTCGACCGCAAGCGCCTACTCTACTCACTGTCAAGGCATCTGCACCTAGTGGAATCACGATCGACATAAGTCCCTCTATCCTCCTAATTGTTCATGCATTTCTGGATGTTTATGAACGCGATAGTCATCTCATTGTCAACTTACTCGAGAGTCAGACTCAAACCTCAGATGTAGAAGCAGCTCAGCAAGACCCACACGCAACTGTCGAGCCGAACATTTCTCTTTCGCCTACAATTACTGACCCCTGGTCTATCCGCGTGGACTTTGATACTGGCGTGGGCGGTGGTGGAAAAATCCAATTGCATACCTTCGACCTGGCTCAAGATGATGCCGATTTTGTTGAGATCTTACAGCGCGCCAACGTCTCTCTGGGGCGTATAAATGTCGATGTAGCTCACAGTGACTTATTCTTTTTGCCTGGTGTTTCGGCTTGGGCGGTGTACAATCCGATCTCTCCGACGACTGATGCAGCTCTGCATATTGACATTGTAGTCCATTCGTCACAAAAGTGAGTGGGCAGTGGGCATTGGACCAAGTATTTTCAAGATAATTTTAAGACTAACATTTCACCGATTCTTCTCAGCACGTTGAATCCTACTCTGTTGCGATTTGTGAGTCAAATGTCTGCAGCTGCCAATCGGCGTGTCTGCCCAAAGTCAGACAGCACCGCCAGAACACCTTCCATCAAGCCGCCAACTACCTCGGCAGCAACTACCAAATCATCGATTTTATCCACCAATCTGTCCTTCGGGTTGCGGATCGATCGTTCTGAACTTACTATCACTTGTTTGCCTACTCGCGCCCTAGCCAAACTTCAATGGGCAAGTGGTGTTTTGTTCGCATCAGGTCGTCTCGATAAAAGCCAGTTCAATGCAGCCTGCACAGTTTCTAAGATCGCAGCTTTCCTTCGCCATGAGGTATGTTTAGTTTTTTGGCGCTTGTCTCCTGGGATTTTTTAGCAGTTGGCTGAAATCAGATCTTTTTCTAGCATGGCTTCGATTCAGCCCTGAAAGCTGAAGCAGGTGATATGGTTGCATCCTTAGATTGGAGGGCTCTACGACCCGCTACCCGCCAGCATACGCACACATGTTCAGTGCTCTTGAAATTTTCCGAGCTATTGACCGAGGTAGATTTCAATCACCTCAACATATGTTTGCTTTTTAAAGCAATCTGGCTCGATCAGGTCACTCCACCAGCTCAGCCAAAATCTGAACTGGATGTTGGCAAGGGCTCGAAACCATCAGAATCCGTTCCGCAAAACGACAAAAACGACACCACTATTCTACTGGTGGCAGTGCTGGCCGACAACATCAAATTCTTGCTGCGTCTATCTCCTAGTGTAGGCACTATCCATCTAGGGACTACCCCATTAAACTTGAGGGTGAGACACATTCCGAGTGTTTCCAGGTCTCTAGTACTCGATGTCGGTGAAACGTCTGGTGTTGCGGTCGGAGATGGATTACTTGGAGGTCGAGCACATCTACAGCAATTCACTCTGCTCATCAGTGTCGAAGATTTGTCTTCGGACACGATATTAGATATCAATGCGACCATTGGGCCGATGGAAGTCTACTTTACAGTGTCGTCCGAGACAATACTTTTGCTTCGGACGGATCTGATTCAAGGAGCTGTTCAAGACGACTGGAAGGACATCAAATCTCTTGATGGCAACTCACCCGAAAATCTTCACGGAAGGAAAGATTTGAGCTTACGAACGTCTTTACATTTGAGGAGTATCAATGTCTTGGCCACCCTCTACACCGCTTCCCGAGGCAAATCCGTGCTGGATGCCATAGAAAGTCAAGTTCATCAACAGAATGCCCAGGCCGAGGATGTCTTGAGTCAGTTACCGCCTGGCATGATCGTCCGACGTGAAAAAGATACGCTCCTGAATGTGGCCCAGCGTCTTGAAAATGAACGATCCAGTCCTCCGACTCACAGTGTTAACGAAATCAAGATTGTCGGCTCTCTACAACTGACGACTCACAACATCTCTCTTGTTTTGTTTGCGGGGCAATTTGGGGACATGCCCTTGCTTCGGATGCAACTCGAAGCAACTCAAGCATTTTTGACTCGAACTCCTACCACCACACACATGCTCTACAACCTCAGCTTTACTACGGAAGGTTGCCAAGTGGCCCATCTGAACCTTCCGCCCAATGGGTTATCCGAAGCGACTCAATCGGATGGTTCGTGGTACGAGGCGTTAGGGAGCGTACCTTGTGAATTAGTCTTGAATGCCAATCGGCTATGGATCAGTATGTCGGCCTCTGAAGCCCTCGAAAAGAATCAAGTCTCCCACACCTTCCGGGCTGAAATGCCAAACAACATCCACATCTCAACCGATGTGACCACCCATGCTAATCTGTGGAGCAAATTCCGGTCTGCTTGGAATAAGGCAAATGAAGTCAAAGGCTCAGCCGACCCTTTTATGGCCCAAGATCATGAACCTAAGCAAGTCGTTGAAGGGCTCGTGTTGGTGGCGGAGACCCCGCCTGTAATTGAAGATGCAAAGGTCCAAGAACTTTGGCATGGTAAGATTTCTTTTTTTTTCCTTCCTATTTATTTATTTATTTTGGTGAGTCAAGTACAGAAAACTGAAAGGCAAACATGATTGTTTTTATTGCCCGTGTCAGCTACACTGCCTTTGGTAAACTATTTCAAGTGGAACGAAAACTTACCCAAATATACCCGTAAGTATATCTGTTTGTCTGCATAGTTTATCAATTAAATAATCAGACACACACACACGCTAATTGTGTGTAATTTACATCACTGTCTTTGTTTTGGAAATCAAGTAATCCGGGTGATCAAACCGCTTGACAATGTGATTGACTTCTTTGAAGGAGTGTATGAATCAACCTTTGCTCGTCATCAATTCAAGAAACCATCCTCAGCTTGAAATCATGATCAACAAAATAATTGAGAAAATTTGCCCAAAATTGCATTGTTGTTATAACATATAAACTTGTTCGTGTTTGCTCTCAGCTCTCAGCTCACTTGCTTCCTCCGTTCCAGTTAATTTATTACTCATTGATCTAGTACATAGACGATTTATTGTACTTCTATTGTTTGATCCTTGTTTGGGATTTATGTATTTGATCCAAGAGGCTCAAGAACATTACAAACCTAATAAATATGCAATAAATTTCTCTTTAACCTGTACTTGGCTCAGCTTTTGTAACTTGGCTTGGGAGTAAAAAGGAATGTGCAAGGTTCATCAAATGAGTCTTCTTTTTCAAGTTTTTTTTGTAACTTTAAAGTTGTTTCCTACATTATAAAGTGTGTAGAACTTTATGGTGAATTCCAATTTTTATAAAAATGAATGATTTATTTTTTATAATGCAATCATACCCATTTTTTCACTTACATTTTTACAGCTAAATTTTCATGCTTTTTTGACATATTAAATTTCTTTCCTACACTTCAATACATGTTAAATTTTTTGGTAAAAATCATTTCAAGATTGTTATTGAATACTGCGTTGGACAGGTTTTTTTTTAATGTTTTTTTAATTAATTTTTCCCGGCTTAATTTTGATCATTTTTTGAAATTTTAAAAATTATTTCCTACATTCAAAAATGTGTAGAATTCAATGGTGAAGTCCAATTTTCATAAAACTCAAAGCTTCAATCTTAATATTACAAATTGTATTTGAATGCAAAATGAATACGGCCATCAGTTTTGAAACCTTTTAAAATTTAGGAAATGAACTTAAAATTTCAAAAAATGAGGATAATTAAGTGTGTAAAATTAATTTTTTATGGGTTATTTTTTGACTTTTTTTGAATTTTTAAAGTTGTTTCCTACACTTTAAAAGGTGTAGAATTTAATGGTAAACACCATTTTCCATAAAAATGAATTTTGATTATTAATTCTTTTTTTCCACTCATTTTTCAATTATTTGTTTGCATGCATGTATGTATGTACCTTATTTTTTATGTTTTTTGGAAATTTTAAAATTATTTCCTAGGTTTCACTGTGCCTAGAATTTAATGGTGCAATCAAATTTTTTTAAAACTCAACGGTTCATTTTTAATACTGAAATTAGACCCATTTTTTCACTTAATTTTTTACAGCTTAATTTTCATCATTTTTTGACATTTTAAATTTATTTCCCACACTTTAAGACATTTAGAAAATGATGGTAACAACCATTTTTCCCCAAAATGAAAACTATACCTTGAATGCCGCATTTGACACGTTTTTTTTAATTAATTCATCACTTTTTCACTTAATTGTTTGCATACATGTGTGTACCTTATTTTCTATGCTTTTTTGAAATTTTAAAGTTTTTTCCTACATTTAAAAGTGTGTAAAATTTCATGGTAACATTCAATTCCCATAAAACTCAACGGTTCATTCTGGATACTGTAATTAGTCATATTTTTCAATTGATTTTTAAGAGCTTAATTTTCATTATTTTTTGACATTTTAAATTTGTTTCCCACACTTTAATACATGATAAAAATGATGGTAAAAACCATTTTACATAAAAATCAGCGCTTGTTACTGAATACTGCAGTGGACAGGCTTTTTTTAATGTTTTTTTGATTGATTTTTACCGGCCTGATTTTAAGCATTTTTTTTATTTTAAATTTATTTCCTACATTTACAAATGTTCAGAATTGAATGGTGAAGTCCAATTTCACTCAAAATACAAGCTTCAATCTTAATAGATGAGTGCGCACTGTTCTTTGCATAATTTGTACCATATACAAATTTTATTTGAATGCAAAATGGATACAGCCATCAATTCTGAAACCTTTAAAAGTGTAGGAAATGAGCCTTGAAATTCCAAAAAATAAGGATAATTGAGCGTGTAAGAATTACTGCTGAGACCCGTTCAAGGCATAATTCGAGAAAAGGTTTTCATTTGAGGAAATTCCTTGTAGCCGCAAATTTATACCCGATGAAGTGTGGAAACAAATTTAAAATGTCAAAAAATAATGAAAATTAAGCTCTTAAAAATCAATTGAAAAATATGACTAATTACAGTATCCAGAATGAACCGTTGAGTTTTATGGGAATTGAATGTTACCATGAAATTTTACACACTTTTAAATGTAGGAAAAAACTTTAAAATTTCAAAAAAGCATAGAAAATAAGGTACACACATGTATGCAAACAATTAAGTGAAAAAGTGATGAATTAATTAAAAAAAACGTGTCAAATGCGGCATTCAAGGTATAGTTTTCATTTTGGGGAAAAATGGTTGTTACCATCATTTTCTACATGTCTTGAAATGTGGGAAATAAATTTAAAATGTCAAAAAATGATGAGAATTAAGCTGTAAAAAATTAAGTGAAAAAATGGGTCTAATTTCAGTATTAAAAATGAACCGTTGAGTTTTAAAAAAATTGGATTGCACCATTAAATTCTACACACATTGAAACCTAGGAAATAATTTTAAAATTTCACAAAAGCATAAAAAATAAGGTACATACATGCATGCAAACAATTAATTGAAAAATAAGTGGAAAAAAAAAATTAATAATCAAAATTCATTTTTATGGAAAATGGTTTTTACCATTAAATTCTACGCCTTTTATAGTGTAGGAAACAACTTTAAAAATTCAAAAAAAGTCAAAAAATAACCCATAAAAAATTAATTACGAAACCGCGTCCAAAAGCGGAAACCGCGTGTGCTGCGGCGCGTTAAAACCGCGTCAAAACGCGGAAAAACCGCGTTTTTTTATTAAGGCCCTATTTTTATTCTTCTTGTTTTTTGAGATATTTTTTTAGATTTTTGAAGCAGTGAGTATTGATTATGAAATTGGAAAGATTGGGGAATCAAGTATATCTTTGATCAAATTGATGTTGATTTTGATTTTTTCTAAAGTAGAGATCTTCTGAAGTGTTTTCTTTGTAGGTGATATTTTGAACAATAGATTAGAAAGTGCTTGACATCTTCTGGGGAATTGCAGAATGAACAGTTTGGTGAATCAATTTTTTTTGATAGAGAAAAGGTAGCTGTTAATCAGGCAGTGGCCAGATCTGAGTTGATAAATAACTGAACCAGCGCTTCTTTCAAGATGATCAATTGTTTCAAAAAATTTTGAAGGAGAGGTTTAAAGGTGAATATTGTTGTGGATAATTGATTTTTTGTTCTTCTTGAATTTGTAGTTGGACCGAGCGATTTGTTGGATATTAGAAAGGGAACAGAATTGATTTTCTTTTTGATAGGGAAAGATGGCTGCTGTGGCGGCTTTTGTGAGTTGATCAACTGTTTCATTTTCCGGGATGCCGACATGAGCTGGGCACCAATGAAGAAAGATGGGAATATGGCAGGAGTTAATGATGATTTTGAGTTTTTTGAAGATGTTGAGAAAGTTAGATTGGTATGATATAGGAAGTGGAGGCTTGGAGATAGAGAAGAGAGTGGCTTGGTTGTCGCAAAAGAGATTGATTGAAGAAATCAAGATAGAATGTGGCAAAGATGGAGAGATGAGATATTTGTTGATGAAAATTTCAAGGCCTAAACTGATGGCTTGAAATTCAGCTTCAAATGATGAAGATTTTTCCGGATCACTCACCACGGATGTTTCCGAGGCACTTGCATGCAAGTGCCTTCTTGTAATTTAATGAATACTTTGGTCTGAACCTGAGCGCATGAGAGGTGCAACTTTGGCCAGATTTTGGTCAACCTGGTCCCAACATCAGTTGATTTCGGGTGCAACTCAGCCATGAGTCTTGCATAACTTAGCCTTAAACCTTGATCATACCAAGGTTTGGCCTGTGTGAACTCTTATGCAATACTCAAGAAATATAATCAAGAGCCCTCTACATATTATGATAAGCTCATATTCTTAGTTATACCTCACATACCCAATCGATATAAGTATGAAGACTGACCTCATCAGAAAATTCACAACAATACTGCTGTGTTGGTTGTTTGTCTTGAGTAGTACCAACCACCGAACCAGCAAGAATTGATCTGTTTGTGCAACAAGCTATGCTCCATCGGCAAGTAAAGACCGGGTATGGTGACCCAGCAACTAGCACCAGACATGTCAGCGAGAACAACATACACTTTTCATATGCCTACTTTGTTGAGAATAATCTGTGTTCTGCTGGTCGAAGTAACCACTGAGATGTATATACACACTGGTGGGATGCCCCCCCAATATCTCCTTTATACTTCCATGTTGCGAGTATGGGTTCAGTCTGGGCCAAACAGGGATCCATGTGTTATCCCAAATAAAGCACAGCTGTTACATCCACTCAGAAGAGGCAACAAGTTCCAACCTGGGATATTTTCCTGTGGTTGCATTCCTAGTCATAGTGACCTTGTCAAAATTTAATTTCTCAATTCATTATGGCTGTTGTTTTCTGCCTCGGTCAAATCCTCATCTCATTTCCCTCCAGAACCACAATCTCTCCCCCTGCCGATGTTCCTCAAGTCGTATTCCTTCAGCGAGGGAACCGCCGAGTCCATGTGTTGGGTGCAGGAGGCTTGTCTTTTGGGGATCTCAGCGAGATTCAAAGCAGGTTTGTTGGGCAGTTGTTGGGGCCTGTTGGTGGCTGTTCGACTCGGATGACAGAGGCCAAATTTTCTGATTTGGAAGAGTCGTTGATCAAACTTCAAGCATTCGTTATCACAAAGAGTTCAACACATTCTCAACTCCGTGCATGTGTTTTCAGTCGGTCGAAGGATGTTCAAACGGTTCTTTCTGCTTTTTCTGGGGCAGGTATTGATATCCTGCCAATTTGGAACTACAACCAAAGCCTTTTCTTTGACATACCACTATTTACGTCAAGCGATCATCA